TAATCTGGTCATCCCTGACAACTGGGGTATGTCTACTAAGCCTGGAGGAAGAATCTTGCAAATGGTGCAGTCATTAGAGTTTTGAGAGTATTTGCACTACTTTAAAAAAAAAAAACTTTTCTTTTAGACATACAGAAAAGTTGCAAAGATATTACAAAGTTCCCATATTCTCAACATTGTTTCCCCTAGTGTGGTACATGTGTAACAGTTTGCCTCATTTTTCTATCCTAGCACCCCATTTAGGATACCACAATACCTGTAGCCATTATGTCTCACTAGGCTCTTCTTGGCTGTGACAGTTCAGAGGAGTACTGAACAGGCAATTTGTAAATTTCCCTTAATTTGGCATTTGTTTGATATTTTTCTCCTGATTAGATGGGGGTTATGGGTTTTGTGAGGAAGACTGCAAAAAAGTTGCTACTTTCAACACATTTTATCTAAGGTACATACTACCAATGTGACTTATTCCTGTTGATACTGACCTTGATCTCTTGGCTGAGATAGTGTTTGTCAGACTTTCACTGCAAAGTTACTCTTTTCATACTGTACTCTTTGGAAGGAAGTTACTGCACTCAACCCACACCACCTTTAGGAGAGAGTATCTATATAAATTATTTGAATTTTTCTAAATGAGAGACTTGCCTGTTTCTTTCACCAACCCAGAAAATCCTGTCCTACCATCTTTATGTCTTGTATCAGTTGTATAATAAAGTGTGAAATTATGGCAATATGGGGTAGATGGAGTCATGGGATGGACAGGTAAAACTTACACTGTTCTGAGTTCATAGAAGTGGCTAAGAAGAGAGAGATGCTGTCTCCGTGTTAATGGAAGAGGGGGCCGTGAGAGAATAAAACAGTCATTCAGGTGATGAATTACTCTTGTAGAGCCAGGGAGCTTCCTTGCAAAGTGAGAGGAGGGAGTGGTTTGGTAATAAATTATAAGTATGAACTGTAGTATAGAAAATGTAATTACAGAAAGGCCAATAAAACAATGGGGGAAACAATGTCAATGAGCATATTTGTTCCCAACATCTCTGTCTCCCCACCTCCCAGACATGAAACTTTTTTCCTATCATTTTTACATTTACTCACATATGTATATGTTATTTGGGACAGATAGACAGACAGACAGACACACACACCCTGCCCTCCGGGCAGAACCTGTTCCACCCTCTGTTTTCTTAAAACATAAAAGATAATAAGAAAAACATGGTGTTTTTGCTAGTTTGAGATAAAGATAGCTATACAGGGAGCTTTCTAGTGCTGTTTCCATGCACCCCAGTTTGGTTCATCTCTACCAGACCTTTTCACTACTTCCTAGTTCCCTTCCCATAGTGGCCTCTGCCAGTTTAAGATTACTATATTCACTCCTCTACAGTGAGCACATCAACCATGTTCATGTTTTTGGTTTCCTTCCCTTTCCATATCCCTCCTGTGCATGGTCTCTCCTTAGTGTGTGACCCATGTCCAGTAATATTACTGCATTTAGGTCTGTAATCCATATATGAGTGAGAGCATGGAATTTTTGGCCTTCTGAACCTGACTAACTTTGCTGAAGATGTTCTCTAGTTCTATCCATTTACCTGCGAATGACAAAATTTCATTCTTCTTTGCAGCTGAATAAAATTCCATTGTGTATAAATACCAGTTTTCTTAATCCATTCGTCAGTAGTGGGGCATCTTGGCTGGTTCCATAACTTGGCTATTGTGAATTGTGCTGCAATAAACATGGGTGTGCAGGTGCCTCTGGAGTAACCTGACTCACATTCCTTCGGGTATATTCCGAGGAGTGATATTGCAGTGAAATGGCAGATCTATTTTTAGTTTTTTAAGAAGCCTCCATACTGTTTTCCATAGTGGTTGTACTAATTTGCATTCCCATCAGCAGTGTATGCATCCTCACCAACATTTGTTGTTGTTAGTGTTCTTGATGATAGCTATTCTAAATGGAGTGAGGTAGAATCAGTGTGGTTTTGATTTCCTTTATGGCCAGGAATGGAGAGCATTTTTTCATGAATTTTTTAGCCATGTGAACTTCTTCCTTTGAAAAAGTTCTGTTTCGTTCAGTTGCCCATTTCTTCATTAGGTCATTGATTTGGTGGGGGAGTTTAGTTTTTTGAGCTTCCTGTATATTCTGGTTATCAGTCCCTTGTCTGATGTGTAGCTGGCAAAGATTTTCTCTCATTCTGTGGGTGGCCTCTTCAATTTAGAGACCATTTCTTTTTTTGTGCAGAAGCTTTTTGATTTCATGTAGTCCCATTTGTCAATCCTTTCTCTTAGTTGCTGGGTCACTTGAGTTCTACTGAGGAAGTCCTTACCTATACCGATTGCTTCCAGTGAATTCCCTGCTCTTTCCTGTATTAGCTTCAAGGTTTGAGGTCTGATATTAAAGTCCTTAATCCACTTTGAATTGATACTAGTACAGGGTGACAGGCATGGATCTAGTTTCAGTTTTCTGCAGGCAGACACCCAGTTTTCCCAGCAACATTTGTTCAGAGGCTATCTTTTCTCCATCATATGTTTTTGGCACCTTTGTCGAAGATTAGGTAAGCATAGTTGCATGAATTCATATCCGGGTCCTCCATTCTGTTCCATTGATCTTCATGTCTGTTTTTGTGCCAGTACCATGCTGTTTTTATTGCTGTGGCTCTGTAATATAGTACGAAGTTGGGTATTGTGATACCTCCAGCGTTGCTCCTTTTGCTGAGTATTGCCTTGGCTATTCACCATCTTTTGTGTTTCCAACTGAACTTTAGGGTAGATTTTTCAATCTCTGTGATGGGTGTCATTGAGATTTTGATGGGAATTACATTGAACATGTAGATCACTTTTGGTAGTATATCCATTTTTACTATGTTGATTCTGCCAATCAACATGAGCATGGGAGATCTTTTGACATTCTGTAGTCTTCCTTGATCTCTTTCTTGAATGGTTTGTAGTTCTCCTTGTAGAGGCCATTTACATCCTTTATTAAGTTTATTCCTAGGTATTTGATTTTTTTTTTTTGAGGCTATTGTAAATGGAGTTGTTTTCCTATATTCTTTCTCAATCTGCTCAATGTTGGTGTATAGAAAGTCTACTGATTTTTGTATGTTGATTTTTGTATCCTGCTACATTGCTGACACTGTTTATGGTGTCTAGGAGTTTTTGGGTAGAGTTTTTCAGGTTTTTAAGGTATAAGATCATGTCATCTGTAAACAGGATAGTTTGACTACTTCTTTATCTACTTGTATTCCTTTTATTTCTTCTTGTCTTAATGCTCTGGCTAGGAATTCCAGAACTATGTTGAATAGGAGTGGGGAAAGTGGGCACCCTTGTCTTGTTCCTAACTTTTGGGGAAATGGTTTCAGTTTTTCCCCATTAAGTATGATGTTGGCTATAGGTTTGTCATATATAGCCTTTATAATGTTGAGGTACATTCCTTCTAGTTTCCTCAGAGCATTTATCATGAAATGGTGTTGAATCTTACTGAAGGTTTTTTTTTTTCAGTGTCTGTTAAGATGATCAAGTGGTTTTTATCTTTGCTTCTGTTAATGTGCTGTATTACATTTAATGATTTGCATATGTTGAATCATCCCTGCATCTCTGTGATGAAGCCAACTTGGTCATAGTGAATGAGCTTTCTGATATATTGTTGGATTCAGTTTGCCATTATTTTATTGAGGATTTTTGCATCAGTGTTCATTAAGGAGATTGGCCTGTAGTTCTCCTTTTTGAATGTGTCCTTGTCTGGTTTTGGGATGAGTGTAATGCTTCATAAAATGAGTTAGGCAGTGTTCTTTCCCTTCTGTTTTCATGGAAAAGTTTAAGGAGTGTTGGTATTAGTTCTTCTTGAAAGGTTTGGTAGAATTCAGTGGAAAATCCGTCAGATGCTAGAGTTTTCTTTTCTGGGAGATTCTGTTGCTGCTTCAGTTTCATTATGCGTTATAGATATGTTTAGGTGGTTAATATCCTCTTGGTTCACATTTGGATGGTTGTAAGTATCTAGAAATTTGTCCATTTCTTCAAGATTTTCCAATTTATTTGCATATAGGTTCTCAAAGTAGTCTGTGATGATTCCCTGGATTTCCTTGGTGGATGTTGTTATCTCCCCTTTTTCATTTCTGATTTTACTAATTTGGGTCTTTTCCCTCATCATTTTAATCATATTTGCCAAGGTTTTTTTTTGTCAAACTTGTTTATTTTTTCAAAAACCAGCTTTTTGTTTCATTGAGTCTTTTTATTTTTTTTTCTGTCTCTATTTCATTCATTTTAGCCCTTATTTTTATTATTTCTCTCCTGGTTTTGGGTTTAGCTTGTTCTTGTTTTTCTAGGAGTTTGAGATATAGCATTAAGCCATTTGTTTGAGATCTTTCTGTGTTTTTAATATATGCACTCATAGCTATAAATTTTCACTGCCTTTGCTATGTCACATAGGTTCTGATAGGTTATGTTTTCATTTTCATTAAATTCCAGGAACTTTTTGATTTCCTCTTATTTCTTCTATGACCCACTGATTATTGAGCAATGTGTTGTTCAGCCTGCAATTGTTTGCATATTATCTTCTATTTTTGTTGTTGAGTTCTAGTTTTATTGCATTGTGATCAGATAGAATGCAGGGGATTACTTCAGTTTTCTTGTATTTGCTGAGGCTTGCTTTTTGCCCTAAGATATGGTTTATTTTGGAGAAAGTTTCATGGGCTTCTGAGAAGAAAGTATATTGTGCTGTTGTAGGGTGAAATATTCTGTAGACCTCAGTTAGGTCCATTTGATCTATGGTGTCATTTAGTTCTAGGATTTCTTTGTTGATTTTTTTGCCCAGACATGAAACTTCCATTTAACTTCTCCCTTTATTCTATAACTTGCAGTAGGGGGTCATGTAGATGTTTGTCTTTTTACATTACTTTTCGCTTTTAAAATTGAGCAGGCATGAAAAACTGATGAATCTGATTATTCCTTCTGAGTGCTTAATTTTGGACCATCCTGGCTCATGTTCTGCATTTTCCCTTCTTTCTCTGCAGAACTCTATCCGGCACAACCTGTCACTGCATAGTCGATTCATGCGAGTCCAGAATGAGGGGACTGGGAAGAGCTCTTGGTGGATCATCAACCCTGATGGGGGAAAGAGTGGAAAGGCACCTCGGCGACGGGCCGTCTCCATGGACAACAGCAACAAGTACACCAAGAGCCGTGGCCGTGCAGCCAAGAAGAAGGCAGCCCTGCAGACTGCCCCAGAGTCAGCAGATGACAGTCCTTCCCAGCTGTCCAAGTGGCCTGGCAGCCCCACATCCCGCAGCAGCGATGAGCTGGATGCATGGACAGACTTCCGCTCACGCACCAATTCCAATGCCAGCACGGTCAGCGGCCGCCTGTCACCCATCCTGGCAAGCACAGAGTTGGACGACGTCCAGGATGATGATGCACCACTCTCCCCCATGCTGTACAGCAGCTCAGCCAGCCTGTCACCGTCAGTAAGCAAGCCGTGTACTGTGGAGCTGCCACGGCTGACCGACATGGCAGGCACCATGAATCTGAATGACGGGCTGACTGACAACCTCATGGATGACCTGCTAGATAACATCACGCTCCCGCCATCCCAGCCATCACCAACGGGGGGGCTCATGCAGCGGAGCTCTAGCTTCCCATACACCACCAAGAGCTCTGGCCTGGGCTCTCCAACCAGCTCCTTTAACAGCACCGTGTTTGGACCCTCATCTCTGAACTCCTTACGCCAGTCTCCCATGCAGACCATCCAAGAGAACAAGCCAGCCACCTTCTCTTCCATGTCACACTATGGCAACCAGACACTCCAAGACCTGCTCACTTCAGACTCACTCAGCCACAGTGATGTCATGATGACCCAATCAGACCCCTTGATGTCTCAGGCCAGCACTGCTGTGTCTGCACAGAATTCCCGCCGGAACGTGATGCTTCGCAATGACCCGATGATGTCCTTTGCCGCCCAGCCTACCCAGGGGAGTTTGGTCAATCAGAACTTGCTCCACCACCAGCACCAAACCCAGGGCGCTCTTGGTGGCAGCCGTGCCTTGTCGAATTCCGTCAGCAACATGGGCTTGAATGACTCCAGCAGCCTTGGGTCAGCCAAACACCAGCAACAGTCTCCTGTCAGCCAGTCTATGCAAACCCTCTCGGACTCTCTCTCAGGCTCCTCCTTGTACTCAACTAGTGCAAACCTTCCTGTCATGGGCCATGAGAAGTTCCCCAGCGACTTGGACCTAGACATGTTCAATGGGAGCTTGGAATGTGACATGGAGTCCATTATCCGTAGTGAACTCATGGATGCTGATGGGTTGGATTTTAACTTTGATACCCTCATCTCCACACAGAACGTTGTTGGTTTGAACGTGGGGAACTTCACTGGTGCTAAGCAGGCCTCATCTCAGAGCTGGGTGCCGGGCTGAAGGATCACTGAGGAAAGGGGAGGTGGGCAAAGCAGGTCAGTGCCCAAGGTTATGGCATAACAGTAACAAGGAGAGGGTGACAGGGTGTCTGGCCTCTGTTTACTTCAACTGCTATGGAGAACCATGGAGCAATGGTGCACATTTTTCTGACTCTCAGCCAGTCACCTCTTTGTTTTACCTGCAAGCCAGATAGGGTTGCCAGGTGCTCCTTCCCACAGCTTGCTCACAGCTCAGGAATTTTACTGTAAGAAAAGCACACACACATGCAGAGAGGTCATTCTTTGTATCCTGTAGTTCTCACTGAGGTATGAGATGGCCCACTACATGGTGGATGGATGGATGAGAACTGAAGGAAAGGGGGAGGAAGACCCTAGCCCCAGGACTTCCTTAGAAAGACTCAGGTTCAGCACTGCCTTTGTCAGTCTCCGTGTGATGGTTTCTCCATCATTTTTTCCAGTATAGTAATGACTTGCAGTGATTTCTAATTTAACTATAGAACATGTATTTCTGGATTCTTCAATATACGAGTGTTTGCACCAGAAACCAGATCTGTTAGATTACTTTCACCATGGTACTAGGCATGTTTATTAGTGCTCAGGGTTTAAGTATTTTTAAATAAAAAAGCAAAATAATTAAGTTGAAAACAAAGTTTTTATATAAGGGAACACTTACTTGTGTGCTTCTCCTTGTTGCTCAGCCTGTAAATGATGTCAGACACAGTGACATGGTTGTGAATGGTGACAGAGATCTTTTAAATGGTGACATTTTAATGCTGGTATAGCCAGAAAGATCAGGCAGTGTGCTGTGGTAGGAGAAGCATATGACTGGAATCAGTGGTGAGGAGTTAGTCCCACTTCCATCACTTCTGGCTGCTGTCATGGGTGTATCACCTAGCCCCTGAGCTTCATTTTCCCACTTTGTAAAGTGAGGATGATGGCTGTTGCTACTCCAAAGGGTTATTGCAAGAATCCAAAAGAAATGTGAAGTTACTTTATTAAAATGTTACAGCCGGGCACTGGTGGCTCATGCCTGTAATCCTAGCTTCTCAGGAAGCAGAGATCAGAAGGACTGCAGTTTGAAGCCAGCCCAGGCAAATAGTTGGCAAGACCCTATCTCGAAAAACCCTTCACAAATAAGGGGCTGGTGGAGTGGCTCAAGGTGTAGGCTCCTGAGTTCAAGTCCCAGTACTGCAAAAAGTGAATGAATGAATAAATAAAATAAAAAGCTACAGTGAATTGAAATACGTTCAGTGCAATTAGGTGAACATACTGACTGACTGACAGATATGAGCAAGCACGAAGCCCAGAAAGGATAAATAGATTTCCCAAGGCCACAACACTAGACCCCAGCCATTTCTTCCTTTTTTTTTTTAAATTTGATTTTTTTATATCATTTTTTAGGTCTCTATCTACTTTTTTTTTTTTTTTGAGAAGGGGTGGAGTTGGTTCCTGGGGTTTGAACTCAGGGCCTTGCACTTACTCAAACACTTGAGTCATACCACCAGCCATTTTTTAAAGTTTTTATTTTAGTTCTACATTGGCATACATTTATAATGGAGGGATTTCAGTATGAAACTCTGTGCATGTGTACCCATGTACTCAGCCATTTCTTAAATGGCTTGAGCCATAGTAGTTCTTTCTGTATTCTCTAAATGGTAAAAAGAAAAAAAAATAGGAGGTACACTCTGAACTTAGCCCAGGTATCAGGTAATACACAAGTTTTCCCTGGAATTGTCCTTCTCAAGAAGTGAGGAAAACTCTGGGGCCTTCTGCCAAGGGGTTTGAGCCTCAGACACCCCTATGCTAAAAGGCTCTGCTCTGTGCCCCAGCTCTGTGTTTTTTCTTCTTAAAACTTCAGACTCAACAAGCTGCTTAGCCACTTCTTTAAATGGTGTGAAAGAGAAAAGGAATTCAAAGCCATCAAACCCAGGCTTGTTAACCCTCTCCATGGTGAAGGAATTATAAGGGTCTCCTATGGTGAGCTCACTGAAGTCCTGAGTAGCTGTAGAAAGGGGATGTCAAGAGTGTTGTAGGTTAAAGTGGCTCGACTTTCCCAGGCAGAGCAGGCCCCTAATGAAATTCAGACATCTGCTCTGTCATTTAATAGCCCTTGAGCTGGTAAAAAGGCTGTAATGGAAGCTAAATAGGGTGACAGTGCTTCCATGCCAGCCAGTTCAACACCATACCAGGGCTTAGGCTGGTATTTAGAAATGTAGATATTTGGCTTTTGGAAGAATAAATGGTTTGTCGTCTTAAAGAAGAGAAATATGATTGTGGCTTCTAAAGACACAAGAGAGTTTAAATTTGACTGTTGTTTTAAGGAGGTCACTTCCTAGTTTGGTGGAGCAAATGAGTTCAAAGAAAATGTGCTGTCAGTTTTTGTCTGATATTTCAAGTGTACATTTCCCTTTCATTTGAATAGCAGGCATGTATGTCTCTATTGATTAAAGATAGTACAGAAATCTGTTAAGGGAGATTTAAATACATAGAGTTTTAATTATTATTTGATGAGTTATTATTTTGATAATGATAAATTGCTACTTTGGGTTTAATACTTTTCATGATTATGTCCTAATGAAGTTAGGGTCGTTTAATAACCTTTTTCTCAGAACATTTTGAGTGAAGGTTGATTTGAGAGGATATTTCTTCAATTAAAAATGAAAAGTTACAGCCAGCTGTGATGCTACTCTCCTGTAATCCTAGCACTCCCATCACTCAGGAGGCTGAGGCAGGAGGACCGGGAGCTTGAGGCCAGCCTGGGCTAAACTGGAAAATCCTATCTCAACAAAACAAAAGTTACCAAGTTTTCCTAAAATCAGTTAGCTCAGTATGACCACAGGGCAAAAGAGGAAACATCCTCAGGACAACGCAGGCCGAGGGAGTCCACCTTTTGAGTACTTTGCAATGAGTTCCTTTCAACAGTGAGTGACCCGAAGTGTGTGTGTGTGTAACGTGTACTTTTAAGCTTAGCTTATATCTATCACTTCACTGAAGACTCTCTTACATTTGGAAAACAGGCCTAAGGTCAGAGTTTCAGATCTCACTTCCACCAAATTAAGCATCCCAGCTTCCCAGGAACTGTTCTGTTCTGAGAGAGCTCTTGGTTTGCCTTTGTTTTAGTAGTTCTCTGGACTGACTTAAGGCTCACTGGCCTGGGAACATTCTTGTTGTGTTAATGGAGCAGCTCTGTCCAGTTGACATCTTGCTGGAGCACCATATTGAGAGCTTGGAGTCTCTTACATGGCATTCATTTTAGGACATGGGTAAAATCCTTTGACTTATGGGTCTGTCTGCAAAATAAAAAATAGTCATACCTTTTGTGAGTGCCAGGGCATTGTCTCCTCTAGGCTGCACATACACACTGGTGACAGAAATGGCAGTGAGCTGAGCTGACGTGGTGGCTGCTACCCGAGCTTGTAGTGAGCCCTCTTGAGTTTGGTGTGTGTCTCACCTTAGTTTTGATATTGAAAGATGTAAATCCATAAGTTCTTTCCTCATCTACAGGGGTCTTTATTTTTATCTTTTTAAAAAGGTCAAAGTCCCAAGTTCAAGCCCCAGTACCACCAAAAAAAGTCTAAAGTCCCACCTTGAGAGAGTGACTGGATCATTTTTAGTGTTGATAAAAGTAAAGAGGAATTGATGCAGCCATGAAAAGGGGCTTCTTTGCAAAAGCAAGTACACTGTACATGCATTATTTTCCCTGGAAAGCAGTGGCACCCAGTGCAGACACTGCTGTTACTGGACTGATTGGTTTTTATCACATACCTGTGCTTCGCCTCTGTCCAGCCTGCTGAGCGTGGGGATCAATTCTGAGACGTGCCCACCTCAGACAGCTACATTTCTAAATGGCTCTGGTGAAGTCTCTTTTGGCCGTGGAGCTTATGTGGACCATAAATGGGTAAAAATTACTAGAATTGCTACATGTAATTTTTGTGAACTTCTTTTTTAGAGTTTTCTTCTTTTTTAGAGTATTCACAATGTTCAACAGTCGATGTCTTATCAATAGCATTTTCTGTAAGTGGTGGCTTCCCCAAGGGCCACCTGTGCTTCTCACAGGCCTACCCTTCTATGTGTAGAAGGGAGAGAGGGACTTACTGGGGGCCACTTCTGCTGTGGCTGCAGAAATTATCTGCCCAGGTCCTCCCTGGCCCTGAGTGAGCAAAGGAGGACAGTTGCTGACTGCTTTTTCTTCCTGGACTTGGAGACACAGGTTGGATTTTATTCTGAGGTAGTTTCTCCACCTTGCAAGAGACATCACCCACTTTGCCCTGTTTTTGTTGATATGTTCATTTGATCTCAGTCTTACTTTACCCCATTCTCCAAAGTGTTTGGAAATTTAAACTTCCAGAAACTAAAATGAATTAAAAATTTGTTTCATGAAGTAGTGACATGTGAGATGTTTAGAGATCACACAGGTTAGTGTTCCTCACAATTTTTTGCAGGATACCTGACCTTAAGCTGTTCATGAGCATGTCATAGAAAATGGATCCTGTGATCAAATGCATTTGGGAAATGCGAGAATTGGATTACTTACAAGAGGACTTCTTAAAGCCTTAAAAAGTTAATGTACATAGGGCAGGATATGTCATCTACAGTTTCCTAAATTTATTTGACACCTGAATCAAATCATTTTTCTTCAAGAAACAACAGGATCATTGTGCTAAGGAACCCCCTTAAGAAAATCCTTCCAGAGTGTTGCTAGAGGTCAGCAACCCTCCTGAGGACTATGGATTCTTGTCCTTTTTCCTTTTTCCTGGTACGGGGATTGAACCCAGGGCCTCATGCTTGCTAGGCAAGTGATCTGCCTCTTGAATAACACCCCAGTACCCTTCCTTAATTCTTCTTTCTTGTTGGCAGTGTGACAGACTGGTAGAAATGCTTAAAACTAAGTGAAGTGTATTTGAGTGCTTGCTGGGCACAAGGGCTAGAGATGAATCAAATAAGGTCTCACCCTCAAAGGATGCATGGTCTGGTTGAAAAGGTGGTGGCAGTGCAGGTGACCGTTTGTCTTAGAGTGAAAAACTGCCTTACATGTA